GGTTCGATGTAATGACCTACATGAAATCCCTACAGCCATTCACTCTTACCTTTGAATTGCTTCATGATACCCCCCAGAAAGGGAACAATATCACAGCAGCCCTGGAGCCTCCATTTCAGGTCGGAAGAGAAAGTCACTGGAATCTCAAAGTTCTCCCTCTCCTTATACCTAGCAGGAAAAAAACTGTTTATGTTCATGGAAAACAACATTTGTGAGAGAAGTAAGAGAACAGAAAGGGAAGTGAGCAGAATTCAGGCATTGTACCACAGGCAGCTGAGAGGAGCCACAGACAGGTGCAGAATTCCAGAGAGGGATGGAAATGCTTTAGAAAAGGGAGTCCACCTCATTACAAGGGTCTTCTCACAGGCCTCCAGCAATGAAACCGAAACATAATGGGGAACCACTGTGCCAACGGTCTCCACACCTCAGCTTCATTTAAGTGGCTGCCCCTTGTGGAAAGGCACAGACAACCTGATCCGATGTTGTTGCGGTTTCCCACATTTCTCTGAACCCTCTGAGCATATGTGATACTTTGCATGGACTTCTTGACCTCTTGGACTCCATACATGGCCCTTCAATTGTCCCTGCTGCCACCTAGAGAATTCAGTGAATTAGCAGGGCAGTCTGAAAGCAAAGTGACACCTTTCTAAGGACGTGGAAGTCAGGGGGCTGAGAAGGGAGTAACTCTGCCGAGGGCTGCACTTAGAGAGTACTCATTCAGCCACTAACTGTCCTCCTGAAGTCATCTGTTCTCATGGGTGAGATAAGGATTCGACCTCCCCGTCACCTTCACAGGGTACACTTAACAAGTGGCCAGAATGTCACAATAACAACTCAAGGTTATGTCTCAAAGCCAATGGACAAATAGTTTGTTTTTTTCAAGTCTATTCTAGTAAATTAGTAAAATATATTTAGGAGGTGAAAATAGAGAATACAAAAATGAAGAGGACAGTTTCTTGCTACCTAAAGTGTATATAGGTTTCAGTGTCTCCTTCCTGGGAGACGGATCATCTTTCCCTCAGCACACACCAGACTTTATGAGATGGTCAAGGCTTCGCCCACCAGAGCAGTATTAGTCCAATAAACCCCCGGGATCATATGGCCGGCCAGGTGTGACATCTGTATGTTGATATCCCCAACCCAAGCCCCCTGGAATGCTTATGTGCTGTGCCCTTCTTCAGTATAATGACGTTTAGGGTTCAAGCACAGACCATGCTCAATCAACTGAGCTGAAAGACATAAAACAGAGGGAGGTGACATGGTGGACGTTGTGACGTCACTTCTGAGTGACTGGCTGCATGCTCTAGGAGTTTCCTCTAGTCTCCGTGATCTTTACTGTAGAGGTGGGGAAATTCCTAGAGCAGTGTGGTGGCGGGTCACTTTCAGGTCATCACCTGGAAGTGACATCACAGCCTCAGCAACACTCCCCCTCTCTCCAGCCTCCACCCTGTCCCCCCAGCAGCTCACGGTTCTGCCGTGCCATCACAGGGCTGGCAGCCCCGTATTATTCAGACCCTGTCCAGAATGACGAAGAAGGAAAATGGATGTGATGCACTTACCTCTGCAGGCTGCTGCTGATATCCTGGAAGAAAGAAAGGGAAAGTCAGCTGCCATGGACCACACTAGCACATGGAAGTCTTTCTCTGCAACTGGTTTATTTGGAACATTCACGTTTCCTCATCCTCCGATTGTCCCCCGTTCAGACTTTCCATGTCTTCAGTGCATCCCTTCTCAAACCTGCTTTGGTCCAACCAGTCCAAAAACAATGCAGCCCAAGCAGGTAGCATACTGTCTGGATGGGATTTTTGAGGCTCCACTCTCCCTGGTACCCTTTTCCTTCTGTCAGCCCATCAAGGCTACCATTTCCCCTGCTGTGCCACCAAAAAGCTATTTTTTTCAACTGATATATTACTATCATGCTATAGCTTTCACTTTCAGAAAAAAGGTCTCGCCCTTTTCATTGCAGAGATATCAGGGGACTAGCCATGCAACGAAAAGCGCCAGTCACTTCTTTGAAAAAATGAAAGCTGGGTAGTCAGAGGAACTAACAGACTGTAGCAGCAGATCGTTATAGGCATTTTGCTGAAGTATGATAGCAGCTACCAATTTTTAAAAAGCCTTCCGGTGTCCCAGGTGTGTGTGTGGGGGATTACAGGGGAAATGGCAGTGCATGGAGGAAACTGCACACAAAACTCCCATCTGGACACTCCATTGCCAGTGCAAATGACTCTGCATTCATGGTGGTGATGACAGGCAGGGAAACAGAGGATCTTTGCCAGGTGGATGAAGCCTCAAGAAAACATTTCATTCAAGGACTGGGGATGTACCTTCATCGAATGTGGCCTTGTCTTCAACAGAAAAAGTATGTAAACAGTGTCCCATTGAAGATGACCTTGAACTTTTTTTTACCAGTGACTTACCTGTAGTACTTTGCTCCCTGACTGATGACGCTTCTCCTCCATCTCCCGGATGAGTCTTTCGAGAGAGGAGAGTTCCTTGGCGCAATTGGCCTGTTGGTCGTCCCATTTTCTGGTTACCTCCTTCTCCACCTCCTCTATCTGGGCCAGCAGACGTTTTTCTTGTTCTTTCAGTCACTGGCGTAGTGTTCCAAACTCAGCCACTGTCTTTTGCCTCTCTGTTTCTGTTATTTTCTGAAAGAAAGGAAGAAAAAAAGAAAGAAAGAAAGAAAGGAAGGAAGGAAGGAAGGAAGGAAGGAAGGAAGGAAGGAAGGAAGGAAGGAAGGAAGGAAGGAGGGAAGGAAGGAAGGAGGGAAGGAAGGAAGGAGGGAAGGAAGGAAGGAGGGAAGGAAGGAAGGAAGGAAGGAAGGAGGGAGGGAAGGAAGGAAGGAGGGAAGGAAGGAAGGAAGGAGGGAAGGAGGAAGCTAGAGGGTCTAACGATTTAGGAAGGACACCGGTGACTTTTCCCAGAGACCACATCAATATTCTTTATAGATCCAGTATGGGGTAGAGATAGGTTTATCAGGCCCTGCTGATAGCGGGTGTCTCTCACCGCTGCCTACCGACTGGTGGGGAAAAAACAATGGGAAACCAGAGGGATGTCGCCAGCATCCCAACACTGGGTATAAATTTCTAAATAAATGCCAACATTCAAGCATTCCCAAGGCCTGTTCCAAAGGCTAACATGGTGTTCAGTTAGGTGTAGTTTTCCCTCAGGATTGCTTTACCTGTGCAAAATACAGCAAAGACCAGTACAGGTTAAAGAGGGGCTCTTAATCCTACCTTCTCTCTGGTTTACCCACTAAAACTGCCCCCTCGCTGCTTTACTGTCTTCATTTTTCCTTATATCACTGGGGTCCACAGTTGTTTTTTGTTTATAAAAATGAGGTGAAGTAGAAATTATTTTTAAAAACCCTGTGATCCCTAATGCATTTGCGGATTAGACAGGGGCAAATTTTAGCCGGCTGTGTGATTTAGCACATCAAGGGAAAATTAAGGATAAAAAAATATTTTGACCAGTGTATCGGTGCACCAATGCATTGGCATCAATATCTTCAGTTGAAGAATCTAACTGAAACCATGGAAAGTCAAGGCATATTCCAGAGAGACCTGACAAGTATGGAAAAGATTATAAAGTTATACCCAACCACATCAAAAGGGTTACTGTCTAAAATTTATAAGGTGATAGTGACAACAGAAACCAGAACAAAGTTAAATTACCAACTCCGTTGGGAAGAGGATCTAAATCAGCAATGGGAAGACAAAGATTGGGAATTGATCTGGGCCTCCCCAATGAACAAGTCTACGATATTTAATCTTCGTCTACAGAATTTCAAATTACTTACGAGATGGCACATGACCCCAAAACAACTAAACAAAATTAATAGAAGTAATGACTCCACTTGCTGGAAGAAATGTGCTTTCACTACACCTTGTAATTTGGTTTGTAATAATCAGATATGTTCTAGTTTAATTAGAGCCCTGGTGCATATAAAAGTATGCAGAGGGCACAATGGGTAGAGGTATTGCTGAGTAGATGGGATGACTCCGCGAAAGAAGACAGGAGGAACCTCACGTCGCTTCTTCTTGCAACAGCTAAACTAACAATAGCCTCTGTATGGAAGTCCCCTAATTCCCCCACACTGTATCTCTGCCATGATAAGCTATGGGAACAGTTTGTCATGGCTAAAATTAATTGGCCTAAGTCGAGAGACCCAGACACCTTACACCACATCACATATGAAATTTAGAAGGCTCCGGTCACCGGTGGTGAAATATATGTCAAAATACGAAATTCTCCCCACAAACATGAATTATCACAGGTGGTTGTTCTTATAATGCATTGCTCACTCTAATAATCTGGACAGTTGAATAAGTTTACATCTATTGAACGGTCAATAACACTAATCAATGGTGCAAACGTTCAGAGGAGACATTAGATAAAATGTTGAGTAAAGTATAGTAAATAAGATCATTTAGATTTTAACCAGGGTTCCTTAAAGTTCATAGTTTAAGCACTATACATTCATTTACAGTATACCCCTTGGATGCTTTTGAGTTTTTGTTTCTTTCTCTGAATTTGAATGTATAAGTAAAAGAATAAAAATATACTTTTGAAAGCTTTAAAAACAAAACAAAAAACAACCCTCCTCCTCTGTCTTTTAATCCAGACTGCAGCTTCTGTGGTTGTCTATTGTAAGAGGTGGCAAAATCCAGGAAAAAGGGAATAAGAGATGTTGTTTGGCCCTTTAGCCAAATTAGGCTGACTATTTTCTGTGACAGACGAGGCCATTCTGAATGGCAGATATCTGTCCTGAGGACTGGGGCTATCTTGTGGCTTTGGAGTCTTCCTGCATTGTTTTCCCTGATACTAGTCCCAGTTAGGGTTGCCAGGTCTGGGTTGGAAAATATCTGGGGACTTTGGGGGTGGAGCCGGGAGAGGGCGGGGTTTGGGGAGGGGCTTCAGCACAGTACAGTGCCATAGAGACCACCCTTCAAAGCAGCCATTTTCTCCAGAGGAGCTGATCTCTGTCAGGTGGGGATCAGTGGTAAAAGTGGGAGATCTCCAGGCCCCACCTGGAGGCTGGCAACCCTAGTCCCAGTTCTTGTTCACTTCCCAGCAATTGTGGCACTTACAAGCATTTCTCGGCTTTTGTCTCCAACTTCTTCTATGTATACCAGAATGTTCTCTTTCTTGGTCTTCAAAGTCTCCAGGCAGTTAAAGATCTTATCCTGAAAGCGGGGGGAAGCCTTCTGCATTAGTTCATTTGTTGTTTTTTTTCAATTTTAAAACACACATGCATTAAAAAATCAAAGAGAAAGAGAAACAGTTAATTGAAACAACACACTTGGTTCCTTTCCTGGCCTTGCAAGGTCTTGTGCATGGGGCGGGGGAGGTCCCTGAGAGTCTCTCCATACCTTGAAAGTTTTTTTCCTCAGCTGGCTAATAGCTGTCTTTTTGTAGGAGAGCCAATGGACGCCAGAGGGGCATACAACCTGGCTCCCCCCGCCTCCATTTTATCCTCACAACAGCCCTGTGAGGTAGGTTAGGCTGCAAGACAATGACAGTCTCAAGTTCATGAGCCAGTGTGGTGTAGTGGTTAAGTGCGCGGACTCTAATCTGGGAGAACCGGGTTTGATTCTCCACTCCTCCACTTGTACCCGCTGGATGACCGTGGGCAAGCCACACTTCTGATATGAGCTGTCCTTGAAAAAGAGCAGTTTATGTCAAGAGCTCTCTCAGCCCCACCCACCTCACAGGGTGTCTGTTGTGGGGAGGGGAAGGGAAAGGAGTTTGTAAGCCGCTCTGAGACACCTTTGGGTAGTGAAGGGCGGGGTATAAATCCAATCTCCTCCTCCTCTTCTTCATGATTGTTCACACAGACATTATTCCCACCGAGAGGCTTGGATTCAAACTCGAGAAGGCTATGAGAGACAAGCAGGCAAATCTACCAAGTGTTGATTCAGGTAGGTAGCCGTGTTGTTTTGAAGCAGAAGGACAAGTTTTGAGCAGCAGAACAATGTTCAGAAGTGTGTGTGTGTGTGCATTCATGAAAGCTTATATCCAGAATAAAAATTTGTTGGTCTTAAAGGAGCCACTGCCCTCAAACTTTGTTCTTCTACCAAGCACTGGACACTTATAAAGCCAGAATGCACCAGTGGTCATGAATGTGGATATTTCGGGGGCTTTCTTCTTCAGCAGTCCCCAGGCACTAAAGTGATGATTTTCGGTCTCTCTGCACTATGGCTGCTTTAGCTTATCCCTCCCCCGTCATGGGAGGCGGGCTACTTACTCCAGTGCAGGGAAGGCCATCTTAGCCGAAGCACAGGACTCGTAGGAGGAAATCTACAGAGAAATAAAAGGATCCCCACAGTTTCCTACCTTGTAATCCTGGGCAGCCTCATCTGCAGGAATCGCCTCATGACTTCCGTGCTCCTCGGATCGGCCACAGACCCTACAAATGAGGATCTCATCCGTTGGGCAGAAAAGCTCCAGGGGCTCCCGGTGTCTTTCACAGATTCCCTCCTCGGCTTGTCGCCTCTGGAGACTGAGTTTTTTGGCTATTTTGACCATGTTTGCCAGCTGCCGATTAGGCCGGACGTTCCTTGGCTCAGCGGCCTCTTTACACAGCAGGCAGGAAAGCCTCCTTCCCCTCCAGCAGCCGGTCAGGCACTCTCCGCAGAAACTGTGGCCGCAGGTGGCAATGGTCACCGGATCCCTGAAATACTCCAAGCAGATGGGACAGGTGAGTTCCTCACGGAGCTCCCTGACCAGATCCCCGGTAGCCATGGCTGCCTTACCCCTAAAGAGAAAGCCGGGATCTTACTTCCGATTTCGCTGCTTCCAAGCTGAGATTTGTGGGTGTTTCCCTTCCTGGAAATGACTGCGCATTTCTGCTGACTTGCTGCGTCACCCGGCTGTATTCAAAGCGTGAGAGATTTCAGGGGCTGCTTGCTTCCAAGGTGGGGTGAGCATTGGTTTTAGGAGAAAAGGTGTACTGTAATTGTGCAATCTTACCCAGCTCAAGTGGCATATTTGTTCTTAAGAACGAAGATCCTTTCTTGTTGAAGGCTTTCACGGCCAGTTAGGGCTCTTTTTGTAGCAGGAACTCCTTTGCATATTAGGTGACACACCTCTAATGTAGCCAATCCTCCAAGAGTTTACAAAGCTCTTCTTCCAGGGGCTACTGTAAGCTCTTGGAGGATTGGCTACATTAGGAGTGTGTCTCCTAATATGCAAAGGAGTTCCTGCTACAAAAAGAGCTCAGTCACAGTGACTGACGAAACATCAGGTCCTAAAATACTATGACCACGGCCATACAGCCTGGAAAATCTACAACTAATGAAAATCCTTTCAGTAAACTCCAAGATATGCCTAATACAACAATCTCTCTAAGTGATACTTCGTCAACACAATGTTGTCAATATACACCAAGGATCACCCCACCTTGGAATGTCATGTATATCCCTACTAATCCTCCCACCAGGTTTTGACAGCAGTTCCCTTGAAATTGCCTAGTCAAGTTAAAATTTCATATCTTGGACCAATCATGCTCCTGGGAAAGTGGGTTCAGCTATGGGACCCTTCCCCATAAAAGACCATCCCAACTGAGAAATGTGCCAGGTCCTCCTACTACCTGAACACCCCTACAGCTGCTTTGCAGGCTCCTTTTTGCTGCATCTGCCCCTGGACCTCTCCAGACTTCAAGCCCTGGATTTAAGGTTGTCTGTCCCTTCCCTAAAACTTCCCAGTTTCCTCCCTTCTCACTGTTAGGTGGTATACCCTGTTGCTGGTGTGTGGGGGACTACTTAGGGAATTAGTTCTCTCAGGTGCTTAGTGTAGGGGTTTTTTTAAAAAAAAAAACTTCCCCCCTATTTATTTGTATAAAATAAAGCGGTCTGTCTTTAAAATCACTCTCACACTCTCCTGTTCTTCATATTTTATCGTGGGGTTACCCCTGCCGAGATTCATCCTGGTATACATAGACTAAGATCCTGCACGATTCCTTTCTGGAACCCTTTTAAAGCTAGTATTTCCCTTCTTGGGGACCACTTTGGGTAACAGTACCTCATCCATGCTGAGCTCCCCCCAAAAAAATTCTGTTCTCCCCAGACTTCACTTGCAAAGCTCCAGGAAATGGGAGTTGGGAACTCCAATACATGCTCCCATTTATTAGCCACAGATAACAAGCTGGCTGCCCCAGTGTTCAGCAGCTGAAGTTTCCAGATCATCTCCAAGGGCGGCCCAGCACAAAGTTATAAATAATCCAGCCTTGGAGATTACTCACAGTGAGGATCAGCGTGGCCAGATCGGATGTCTGTAAAGAAAATGATCTGGAGTCACATGAAGCTGGGGGGGGGGGGGGGGAAATTT